ATCATGATTTACATCCTCCCAGATGCTATGTTGGGCCGGGGCTTGGGGGACCCTTGGAGTTGGGGATTCAACCTTTTGTGAGCAATATATGACCCTTACGTTATATATAAAATAGATCGTACCACGATTCTTAAGACCTCACTCTTGCTCGAAAGATTTGATGGACGAGGAAAATTCCTTGTGTGCAGTGAACAAAATTCTACCATATGTGTTAGTTAAGTCACCATGATTTATCCGGCCCTTTATAAGCTGTCGGGTCGGAATATGAGGACGTTTAAGATGGACGATTCCACCTTTGTCACAAGATTTGATGGAGGAGAAATGTCAAACCATTTCATTACTCTTGACTTTCATGTGTGACATATTGCTTCAATTCACACCTTGGATAGTCAAAGGGACATTGAAATCTGTGGCAGAGGTTAAATTACATCTTTTGTAGACTTATGCAGTAGGTTGCACGACCAATTTAAACCTTGTTATTGTCATTCCAACCAACTGAGGAAAAAATTAAAAAGGAACATATGCTCATGTGCCTAACAGTATTCATGACTTTAAAATGGGTAGTCCAACCAAGCTAATCAATATCACGATTTAGTAATCACAAAATTCTAAGTTCTATTCTCAATGAAAACGTCCTATTGATCTTCTTAGTTTAAACTAGTAAATTATGGACAATCTAGATTGGTTTACCTCCTTGTAGTTTTTTGTCAGTTACGGTCACAAGATGAATTAGAATCAAACACTTATAACTATGCCAAAAGTTATGGCTGGTAAAGAATGGACAATCTAGACTGGTTTACCCCCTTGTAGTCCCTTGTCAGTTAGGGTCACAAGCCGAATTAGGATCAAACACTTACCACTACACCAAAAAACTATAGCTGTAACGAATGCACAACTTTATTTCCGCCACACATTTTCGACACTCTTTTTTCACAACCACCGGGTGATAGACTTGGCCTTTTCAACACTCTTTTTTCACCGCCACCGACATAAACCCGTGACCTGACTCTAATACCACTTGTTAGTTGTTAGGATCGAGCTTTTACCACTACGCCAAAAGTCATACAATGTGTAACTTTTTTCGTTATACCGCCACACATTTTCGAGACAGTCGGTGCTAAACTTGACTATTTTTTCTTTTACCGGCCTCTGCCTAATGATCCTCTGAGTAACTAGACTTGACCTTTACCGGCCTCCACCCAACCCAATCCTCACCCAAACAAAGAAAATGGTCACTTTTCATTGGAAGACATCACCATCACACATGCTCTTGAGTCCTCAATCATTGACTAAAGCTGCATCTATTTCCCAACTGTCCCAATGACAGACTTGACTTTTCTGTGCCCTCCTCTCCCCAGCTTTATAAACACCCCTTCCAGTCTGCAACCACACCATATATCCCCATACAAATTTCCCCAAAGAAAAATGGATGAATTTCCAAGAGTTCAGCAAGATAACACCCATTTTTCCAGGTCAAAATCCTTGCATCTCCCAGATCTTTCAAATAAAACTGCACCCAAAACCCATGGCTCAGTCCACCACTGTGATCAAGAAGATGGTGCTGGGGAGATTTTTGGGGTGATCTTGAGCAGAAGCAGGTCGGTTTCCTCGGCCGCCCCGCCCCGGGAAACCACCAAGGCTGAGAAACAACAAAAGGGACTAGCAAAGGTGACATTAGCCATGAAGAGGTCATTCTCTGTGTCTGGAGGCTATTGCAGGATTCATGACCAGCATGACATCATCAATGGTGGTGGTGGTGAGAACATGAACCCTAATGTTTTCCAACAAAGAACAGTTAAGAAGAAAGGCAAGATCCTTAAAGCCTGCATGAGGTTACTAGGTCTTTAATTAGTGCAAGATCCCAGGTCAACTGTCTCTCCTCAGTTTGACAGTTTTCTTAATTATATAAAGTGTTAATCTGTAGTTTTGTGCAAAATTAATTAAAGTTCCTCTTGGCTGTATCAGATGATCTTCTATTCCTCTTTTACTTCACTTTTATTTTTTCTGAGTGGTTGAAGTATATCACTTGTGTATAGTAGTCCAATTGTATTAGTAGAAAAATATTTCTTTGCCCGTACGGGCTTAGCTCACTGGTTCAGTAAGGACCAATGTTTGAACCTCGGCAATAGTAGTGTGGAGCGTTATGTTGTGGAACCGTGCCCACCTTGGAACCGTGCCCACCTTGCAAGGTGGGCACGATTCCAAACGACACCGTTTTCTTGTAGTTGAGTAACGGTGCCGTTAGTGACACCGTTATCCTCCATAATTTCTGTAGATCTATAATTTAAATACAGTAGATTCATAATTTTTATACTGTAGATTCATAATTTCTAAACTGTATAGTTATCAAATTATGAACATATAGTTCTGTGATTTGTGAATACAGAGTTTAACAATTGGGAATATGAACATATAGCTCTATAATTATGAACATATAGCTCTATCACATGTTCACAAACGTAGATTCATAATTTCTATACTGTAGATTCATAATTTAAATACAGTAGATTCATAATTTCTAAACTGTACGATTGCGAAGAGAGAAACGATGTTAACAGAAAGTGAAAAACAATTTTTTTAAAATTAGAACGGCATCGTTTCGAAAACGATGCCGTTGTGCAAGGTGGGCACGGTCCCACAGCATAATTTGCCTAGTAGTGTGGAGACCTTGTTTAAAGTGGACAGATCTCTTATGCGCACCGGACCCGTTTAATTTGCCGAGTGACACTTGCCTTTGTCTAACGACTTGTCTTATTTTTGATAAGTCAGTCCATCCAATAAAATCCCAAACTTTATAAGTTAATTGTATTAGATCATTAAATCTACTCAATATAATTATCATAACTCAAACACCAATCTGTCAAAACACCTATCACATAAGGACAGAAAAGAATCAGACAGCAGAACAAGTGTTAGAGCAGAACGAAATTAAAGGCGTTACATTCTAGGTAAATACTAAATGTATTGTTTTTGTTTGACGACATATATAGACAAGATTATAAATGCAAATATGGCAAACCTCATGTTGAGGCAATGTGCTGTCACCAGTTATGGCAGTGTAATAAGTTCTAGTCAAGATGAATTTTAAATGCATGTTGATATATATGAGCTGGATTGATTGATTAAATGTATGTTGTGAGAGGCACTAGCTCAATAGCACTTATGTAATTCTCCTAAAGGGGTCACATGTTCGAACTTCAGTAAAGAATACTACTCCGTATATTATAATAATAGAGTCAGTAGTACTAAAAAAAAATTCACTTTCCACCTCCAATCTCTTTTAGACCTACTTCCAAACCAATTGCGAGCGATGGCAAATTGCCTACAATCCAGTGGTGAAGCTACAAGTAATGCCAATCTAAAAAAACAATGATCCCCTAATCAAAATTTAATAATGCTCTTCCAGCGATAGGGGTCCCGCGATCCAGAATATAATTCGACAAAGTCGAAAAACTTGAATTATTAAAAATAAAAATTAACACAACAACAACAACAAAAGCCCCCTATTCACTTGTCACCCCTTGTAGAGTTTAACTTTTAAGATTATACTACACCCGTGCATTTGATCAGGTATGTTGAATGTTGCCTGCACAAGCTTAGCTCACTGGTACAGTAGGTAGTATTTGGGATAAGAGATCAAGGTTTGAACTTCGACAGCGGCAATGTGGGGATTATCCCCAAAGTGTACATATCCCTTGTGCGCACCGACATTTGGTCATGTCTGCTGAGTCATTGAGTCACCTTATTTGCATTTGGGAGCTCTGTAAGGGTCGGGGTTGGAATCTCGACTGAGAAGCCCCCTGCGAGAAATGCAAAGATCTGTACGTACGGGAGTGACCTGGGTGGAGGGGTTGGAGGGGGTGAGAGCCATTGCTTAGGATTCGAGCTGCAGAGGTCCCCTTTGGTCAAAATGCAGAGATCTGCACAGAGGGGATTGGTCCGGGTTCTAAGAGTGGCTGGGAAGAGAGTGAGATATAGGTTTACCTAAGAGCATCGGTCCCACCCTTTGGTATGGGGCAAGAAGCATGAGATTGATTGGCTATTATGCATGTGATGGTGTGTGCTGAATGAGATATGGGCTTTGATGATAACCATTGGGCATATGTTTGATGAGCATATTTACTATGTGAGTGTAGCCCATTGGGCTTGGGGTATACATGTATATAGTTTTGATGAGGGGGTCACTTTTGGGCCTTCATGTACATAGTTTTTGAATCAATAAAATGGGATGTTTAAAAAAATAAAATAAAATAAAAACTTCAAACCATACAATCATCTAATTTCATTGTTGGTTTGGGAATTAGATAAACATGGTTGTACGAAAATATGGGAATTTCCATAAAATTTATGGCCCAAGAAAATCATATGATTTTGCAGACACATTTTAGATTCTCTGTTTTTGGGTCCCAAACCAAGAAGTAGCCACAACCATCTTATCCCTCATATATGGTGTGAGAAAAACAGACAAACACTCACCTCAAATATTACCAAATGAAGACACAATACTTATTTGTTTCCTTCATTAACTATTTCAAACTCATAAAATCCATTTTAAAAAAATTACTAGTAAAAAAATATTAATTTAAATTTATAAGTCAATTATACTTAAATATTTTTAATAGGTTGAGAAAGTATGTTTGAACAGATATTACAATATAATAGAGTCAGAAGCATTCAAAAGAAAAAAATACTTAAATATTTTTAATCTTGACATATATTGTAAAATATTTTGTAATATTGTATGACGTGGTACTATTAAAATCAAAACACATTGATAAAAGAAGTAAATATAAAAATATTACTTTTTTCATATTAAAATTTAAAATTATATATAAGAAATTTTTAAGGTGTAAATCAGTACCAGTGTCTCTAAGTAAACAGTGAAGACTTTGAGTTTATACTGAGTATTGCGGGGACAAATCCGGACAATATATTCAGTACAAACTTAAAATATGTCTCAAAATTTTGACTTGTACCCCGTAAAAGTGGTGTTAGTCTCAATCGACACTGTAAAATTTCAATTATGTCTTATTATTGCTTTGTAGAAATTGGTAAATTCTCCCAATTTAGATAGAGTGAGGGAGGTTAGCTTCAATTCAAACCTTGTCTGTTATTTTCATTTCTTCTTCTTGAAGATGAAGGCTCATTTTCAAACAAATCATCAAAGTCTTTCCAAGCAATTCTCAAGAAATTTCATAGCAGTTAGCCACAACAGAGCCATTATTGGGTCTTCAAGAAAAGTTGAAAAGAAAGGGCACTATTATTACCCTATGAAATGTTGCAGCTCATCATCTTCAACCTCACAGCCACCATTATTACAAGAAGGAGAAGAGGTGGAGCTGAAGGTTCATCAGCAGTATTATGGAAGTTCATCAAGAAAAGAAGAATTTGGGTTTCTGGTGAGAGATGAGAATGGATGGCAGGTGAGAAGAATGGGTGAGAGTGAGGATGAGATGAGGGAAGTGGCTAGAGTTCAAGCTGAAGCGTTTCATGAACCAGTCTTGCTCTTCAATGATTTCTTCTTAGAATTTTTCCAGGTTCAATTCATTCCTAGCTAGCTACCTAATTGTTTCACATATATAATCTAATCTCAGGGACTATGTGTTCCACTACAATTATGAAAACTCTTACTTTCGGGAAAGCCCACTACCGCTATTCGAAATCGAGTTTTGGGTGGAGTTTGTCTACTCTAGTCGGAAATGACTATGAGTAGGTAAATTAACTTAATTATGTTGTCTATAATTAATCGACGCAAATTAAGAAGGTCAATAAACGACTCATACAAGAAGTCAAACTTAAAACCTTGTGATTACGTTACCTAGCTAACTGTCAGACTAACTTGGTTGGAGTTGGCCTAACGATTATGAAAACTATCCTTATAGTTGCATAGTACACTTGCATGAATATTGGGGGTGGGGGTGGGGGGTCGCTTTTTGCCCTTTCAACGAGAAATTTGGTAAAATCTTACTGAATGATGTCAGGTGACTTACAAGTGACCCAAGTTTGTAGGCACAAAATTACCGATCATTATTGTGTGGACCATATTTTGTATGTTATAAAATAATGTACATTTAATATAAAAATAATGTATTTTTAGTATATTAACAATGTACATTATATTCAAGAAAAGTACATTATTTGAATACTGAAAGTATATTATTTTGTATAATGTATATTCAATACACAAATAATGTACATTTAGTATATTAAAAATGTATTTTTTATTATGACTCACACGACGCTGTATGGACCATGGTCCACACAATAATTTGCCAAAAACTACCTGCACATTCTATAAAAACATGTTATTTTGAATGAACGGTTTTAACAATAAAACTTTGGTAACTCTCAAGTCGTGCGACAAAATATAGTTAAATTTCACCAAATTTCTTAAGGAAAGGATAAAAAATGATAACTCTTTATAACTTATTAGTGTCGTAGTATAGTTTTATATTTTAATTTATTCCTAACATTTTGTGTTAAATATAATATAATGCAGGCTGAAGTACTTGCTGGACTTATTCATAGACTGAGGAACTCTCCACCAGACAGGTATGTAGAAGAGTACATTTAAGAACCCAAGAATCATATATAGATCTTATTTAGTAACATAGTTAACTTATTAGTTAATTTTAATTTATTTGACTACTATTAGCTGTTTGACTTAGTTAAGCAACCAAAAAAGTTTAATTAATTAATTTTTTTTTGTAACAGTTTATTATTCTAAAATGTTAAAATTCAAAAAAACTGCTCAAAATAATTTTTTCGATCCAACTTTTTGAGAAAGTCATTTTACATGTAATCAGCTAACAACTAATTTACCAAACATCTTTCTACAATCGGCTAATACTATCAACTAGTTAAACCTATTAACTCAATCAGCTAACAAATATTTACCAAACACCCCTTGTATAAGAGTTGTTTTAGTACGTATTTAATGTGTTGGTGGTCCAGAATGATTATATTAGAGAATTGAAGATGATTGATGATTATTTATGTGACATTAACCTAATGAAACAGGTATGCATGTTTGGTGGCGGAGGCATCAAAGGAGGGCAGTGAGTTTAAGGAAGTGGTTGGGGTAGTTGATGCAACTGTGTATAGAGACAATGATGTTCTCCGACACCTCCCAGGTGGCGCAGATGAATATCTCTACATTTCTGGGATTGCCGTCTTGCACAAATTCAGGTTTTATGCTTTCTTCTAACCATACAACAACACTCCTTACACTATTAATTGAAATATGTGTTCCGTCTTGCCGCACACGGACTTAGCTCAATAGTTCAGTAGGTAGTATTTAGAAGAAGAGATCAATGTTTAAATTTCAGCGACGGGTGTGGAAATTATGCCCAAAGTAGGTAGATCCCTTGTGTGCACATGCATTTGACCATGTCTGCTAAGTCTGTTGGGTCGGGATATGCACTGTAGGACCGGAATGTGAGGGGCCTTGAGGTGAGAGTTGCTGGAAAAAAAATGGGGTTAGCTTTATAAGTATTACAAACTTAAAATTTTATAATAATATAAAATTGATCATGTATCTTTTTAATTAAATCTCATCCCTCATCCCTCAACCATTTATGAATTCTGATGGACGGTTAAAGTCCGCCCTCACTTTTTAGGGTTGTTTTCATTTAAACTCACCCCCATATATATATATATATATATATATATATATATATATATATATATATATATATATATATATATATATATATATATATATATATGATTCTGAATACACTTTCTCGAGTAAGAACATGTTATTTGAGTTGGCTCTGCTACTAAATCGCCTTTATCGGCAAATTATGGTCCACACAGTGTTATGTGGACCATAACAAAAAATACATTTTTATTATACTAAATATACATTATTTTTGTACTGAATGTAATTATACAATATAATATAAACTCAGTATAAAAATAATGTACATCCCCTGAATATAATGTACATTTTTTTTGTACTGAATGTACATTATTTTACACTATACAAAATATGGTCTAGATTGGCCTTTATCTTGTTGGACTTACCTTACCCTTACAGGCCAACAATATCCCTTATGGGCCAATATAATAGCCCTGCAAGCTTTTGGGCTTCCATTAGCCCTATTTTATCATTTCTAACCAACACTTGTACTATTTGCTTTAGTGGTATTTTTAACCTTGATTTTCATATGAAATAAAAATTTGACTGAAATTGTAATATAAAACTATAACATGTCAAAATGCATATAACATACTCAATTAGCATGTCAAATGTTTGGCAGGAGGCAAAAGGTAGCAACGGCCTTGCTAAAAGCATGTGAGATGGTAGCTAATCTATGGGGGTTCGAGTATCTTGTGTTGAGAGCTTATGAGGATGACTGGCGAGCTCGGAAGCTATATAGTAATGCAGGATATAGAGTTGTGTCAATAGACCCTCCATGGACCTCATCTTGGATTGGTCGAAGAAGACGAGTCCTCATGATCAAAACCCCCAAACATCATCTTTATACAAAATATTAGAACCACAAAAAAATTATTTGATACACCATCGGTATATAAACATGTTGAGATATGGGTTCTAGGTATGACCCTTGAGCAAGTTTAAGTCATAACAAGTGGAGTTGTGTACATCAAGCTTGTGGGCTTGCCGTTTACGGTGTTTATTCTATGGTTAATTCTTTTCTGTCCTTTAATTCAAAACTTAATTCATTTATTGCTTATAGTTTGGAAATTCTAGTACCATTAATATGTTATAAAACAATAACCGACTATTGCGCGCCACATATAGGTCATGTTTGATAAATAATGAATCCGTCAAAATTTTGACAGATCCGTCATTTTGACGTTTTGACTGAAATCAAAACGCCAAAAACATATTTGGTAACTCAATGGTTTGCTCCAAATCGTTGAGATCCCTTTAGTAGGATTTGGGGAAGGATTTTTCCTTCCTTTCCCAAAACACCCCCTCCGAAACCCAACAAGTTAATACCACATCCACTGAAGCTCGAACTCATAACCTATTATTTGGAAGAGTTACTTCATGCCACTTAACCACAAAGTCTTTGGTTCTTACATCTTTTTTTATTTTGTTGTTGTATTATTATTATTGTTATTATTATTATTATTATTATTATTATCATTTTATATGTTAACCGCTAATCTAAACAGCTAATTTTACCAAACATCTTTTTATACACTGCTGGTCAAACTCACTAACACAATTCACTATTCGTTAACCGCTAATATAATCTACTAACCGCAAACCGCTAATTGCAAAACAAGCTCATAACCCCATAGTCTTTTTAAAAGATAAATAACTAATACACAATTTGTATTTTTAGTACTATTTCACTCTAATTTGTTTGGGATAAATTAGTAACTTAAATACTTATTATTTTTAAATTATGAAATAGTTTACATGTAGTGTAAAACTGTAAATTTTAAATTTTTTTTTTGTTTTAAAGAAAACAACAAAAGTAAAGGGCACTAATGCACTATTATATTCACTCAATTCTTGTAATTATCATTGCTATGATGACTTATAATACAAAAATTGGTAACAAAGCATCATTAACTAGGGGACAGACATGACAATTTAAAGTCAGTCCAAAATGGTAGGGCTACAAGCACTTATCAACTTGATGTCATTTGTACGTGCCATAGTTGATTGGTTGCTAAACCACAATCAGATTAGACATAGGAGAAATCACACTAAGTTACAAAATTAATTGTGAATTATTTGTTAATAATTTGAATTAATTTGGATTTAAAACCCTCCAAAAACATAAGTTTGTATGTATCTAATTTTTTTTTAAAAAAATCATTTGAAATACGTTCAATTTTATTGTATTTTATATCACACATAATTTTGGTTGGATTTCCGTAACTTTCCTATTGAATCAAAGATAACATATACGTCAGATTTTGGAGGGATTGTGATTCCCTTATATTCCTTAACAGAGCGTTTGGTTGGAGGGATTTTAAATTCCCTTCCCACTTAATTCCCACCTAATTCCAAAGGCCATTAAATTCCGTAGTTTGGTTGGAGGGAATTGCAATTCCATGGAATTGCAATTCCCCCATTTTCATGGAATTAAAATCACATGTCCCCCCATGGTATTTTAATTCCTGGGAAAAAAAAGATAGTGATGAGTCAAAATTACCCCTTCCTTTTTTAACCTAAAATTAATGTCTAACAACAATAATGGACATTTTTGACTTTATACTACTTATTTCCTTTCAATTCCCATGTATACCAAACATTGGAATTGAAATTCCCAGTAATTCTATTCCTGTCAACCAAACACTGGAATTTAAATTCCCACTTTATTCCCAATAATTCAACCCCCATGAAATTACAATTCCTTTCCCACATAATTCCCGCCCTCCAAACAAACGCCCTGTTAAGTATTGTGAGATTCCCTTGACTTTTTTACTTACTTCGTCATTTTCCGACAATGAAAATATTATTTTGTTGCTACTGTGGAAATATTTTTTGTGCTGTTGAGTTTTTAAGTTTTATATGATAATAAATTATATTATTGTACCCGGGTTGGACTTCCATTTGGAAGGTTACGAGTTCGAGCCTCATTGGAGGCGTTATTGGTTCTTTGTGTTTCAGTAGGTTGTGAAAGTATATGAACAGATACTACAATGTAATAGGACCAGTAACATTAAAAAAAAAAATTATATTATTGTAATTACATATTTTTATAATAATAATAATAATAGGTGCTCCAAAAGCAGCACCTCGATCTCGTAAGAAGCACTTTATGAGAAGTGCTTAGGGCATCCTCAATAGTGTGAAGGTTTTACAGGTGTGATTAGGAAATAAAAAAATGGGAGAGAAAAAAAATTAAGATTTGAAATTAAAAAAAAAAAAAAAAAATTACATGAGGCGCAGCTCTCTTCCCAAGGTGGGACCCATTATCCCTGCAAAATTCTCAAATTAAGGGTCTGTTTGGAAACCCGGAAAATGACTTCTGGAAAATGAGTCATTTTCCAGAAGTCATTTTCCTTTCCTGTGTTTGGCTGCACAATGGAAAGCTGTCTATATAATTAGAATAATATGACAACAAATAACAACAATTAAAATTAACACATAACCACAAATTAAGCAAAACATGTTATTATATAATCAGTAAAAAAAAAAATACCAGCAACAAGTTCACGATTTGGCATAAAAAAATTAAAAATAAAAACAATTGCAACTGATTTCGAAACCAATTGGTTTCTGCATCGGAAACCATTCACTGATTTCCAATCGGAAACCAGTGCGTCACTGGTTTCCAATTTGGAAACCAGTGAACATTGGTTTCCGATTGGAAACCAGTGAACACCGGTTTCCGATTGGAAACCAGTGACGCACTGGTTTTCGATCGGAAACCAGTGACTGGTTTTCCGCATCGGAAACCAGATCTGGTTTTTCGCATCGGAAACCAGATCTGGTTTCCGATGCGGAAAACCAGACTCACTGGTTTCCCCAGGCATAATATTTGGAAAAAAAAAAGAATTAAAAATAAATAAAAATATTTACCTTGTAGTTGGAGGAGATGTGTTGGTAGTTCTTTGTTGAATGTTGAAGAAGCAGTGGAGGGAGAAGAAGCAGTGAAGGGAGAAGAAGCGTGTCTACGGATGTTGATTGAAAGATGGAAAATGACTTCCGCCAAAAAAATGGGAAGTCATTTTCCAGATTTTAGCCCTCATTTTTCATTGACTAGAAGTCATTTTCCTTTGACTATTTCATTTTCAGCCTTCCCAAACACAAAAAAACTTGGAAAAATGACTTCCAGAAGTAATTTTCCGGATTTCCAAACATACCCTAACTGAACACACTCACCTCTACTCTCTCCCTTTTCTTTTTCTTCCAAATCATCTACTTTTTCTTAAAATTTGTGCACGAACCCCTTAATGGGGATGCTCTTAAGGGGATGTTTAGTTCACGAAATGTTAGATTACTTTAGGGAATGTTAGATTGCTGGGAATGTTAGATTCTTGTGTTTGGTTTAAAACTAAGATATGTAAATAAGACAACGGTAATAAAATAAATTGATTAAAACGTCCAAAGCCCAACATTAGTAATAAGACAGGGGAATGTGAGATTACCTAAGAAATTGGAGGGTATCTCACATTCCCTTCCAATAGCTAAAAACTTAATGCCGAGGTTAGTTGACATTCCCAGGGAAAGTTACATAACCTGAACTAAACATGAGAATTTTATATTACCAAGTAAATATAACATTGGTTATCTTATATAACTTGAACCAAACGCCGCCTAAAAGTGTGTGCTTGATAAATTTCACTCTTATGTAATAACTAGTAAATTACACAAAAAAAATAAACTGAAGAAGAAAAATCTTATACGACGAGATTGATGAGAAGATTTAGATAATAATTAAACTCCTAATCTTTTAAGTTTTAAATACGAAAATATATTTCGCCCACTCAATCTCCTTTTTTAAGACTAAATTAATCTTCATTTTATAAGAGGTAATGGTTATTAGTGAAAACGAGTAACCAATCAATGGCGGTAATCTCGTTGAAGAAAAATGTGATGGGCGTAGGGTCCAATAATGCGACTTGAAGTTTGGTGTCTAAGTCTACACTACTAAGCTTATACCCGCAGACAAAATAGTAAATTGACTATTTTAATGTCTGATTTCTACTTTGCTAATTACGCACATGTACTGTTTTATTTGGCGACAAGCAACAAAGACCGTTGCCCATGTGGTCCTCTAATCTTCTATGCTGTCTGTTTGATAATTAGGGATAATAATCCAAGACACCAATTAATTACTGCGTAATTACTTTTCCTTAAACACAAACAATGCTCCAACGGTTATTCCACAATTTTTTATTATATTATTGTTTTGTCATGGATATAACTTCAAAGTTAATAAAATCGGCCGGCTAAAACGTATATTTATAGCATATAAACAGGACATCATTTTATGAGTACATTACAAGTGTGGATATGTCCTTACTTTTTACATGGAGATGTTCTCATATGAACCCTGACTTCTCTTAAAATTGATTCTATTGTTTTTTACATTGCATTCTCAAAATCTCACATTACCATTTTAAAAGTAATCATATTAGGTAGAGAAAAGCGTCAAATAGACCGTTCAACTTTTTGATGAAAAAACAATTAGCCCCTCCAACTTTAAAAAGTTTCAATTACACACTTGAACTTTTTAAACTTATGCAATTAAAGCTAATTTACGGTAACCAAGAGGTTACTGATAAAAAATAAAAAATATATATATTTAATCTTTTTAGTTTTGGCTATAACTGACTACATTTGCAGGCTCCTTCCAATATAAAAGGAGGCGGAGCGTTGCACGCTTCAGCCTCCTTCTGAATTGGAAGGAGCAACGTCTTACCTCATTCCAATCTAGAAGGAGGTGACTTTGCCCCTTTCAAAGTGGAAGGAGGCAAAAACGCCGTCGCTTCCTTCCACCCGGAAGGAGACTACAACTATCACATTTTTTCAAAAGAAATTCACAACGGCCGTCGACGTCGGCGGCGACAATTGGCGACATCGACAATGACCCGTTGGCAACGATAGCAATGATTTGTCATGTTTAACCAAAAGTTTATCGGGAATATAGGCTAATAGGTTAGATTCCGCTAATTTGACGAATTGAAAAGTTTAATTGGAAATTTTAACAGATTGATTGATTAATTGCACAATTAAGTATATTTTAACGATTTATTTGAC